GGGGATTAACTTAAAGTAGAGGCTTCCACTATTTTCAATCAAACTTTCTCACTTAATCTTTTATAAAAGATCGTAACGACAGAAACCGCGAAGCCTTTTCGGGAACTGAGATCCCATATTTTTCTCAACTTATTGCCTTTTATTATAAAGCACAAGTAAAGGGCAAATACATGGACATAGGTATAATCAGGATGGGAACACAGCTAACTTCATGGTCGGAAATCAGGCAAGCATCACTCCAGAAGCTAGAATGACCCAAACCAGTGGCTGAAAGCCGAGTTGGCAATCGGTGCTCGACTGGTGGAGATAGAATACAATGGCCTGCACCGTAAGGACAGGCAATGAAGTACCCGGAGCTTAATCGAGAAGATATTACTACTTTTAGTATTACACAAATAACCAGATGATAACATCAAATGTCGGCGCAGACTTTCTGACTGATTTGAAGCTTGAAAGCGAGTAAGGTGCAGATTACCTTTGTCATCATCTATTTCACAGTCATCATAAAACTTCGCCAATGATGATAGAATGGTATGGACAGGAGAAACAAGAAGCAAGAGGAGAAACTGCCCTAGATAAATTGGGGGAACCAGTAGCTACAGACATTGTAGGGGGCGCAAGACAAGTCAGGTCAATGTACTCATAACCTGACCGTAAAAGAGAATCTGTGCCACTTGCAGATGCCAAAGAAACAGCTGTTGTAGAAATGTCTGCGTCTACGAGAACCACAACCATTTAGGTTGTAGAATGACTGATCGAGATATAAAAAGCCAGCCAATTCAACGGTTGATTAAGAGGTAGAAAGGTAATATAGGTTGTTGACTACAGACCCAGCCTTTTCATCACCGTTGGAATAGTTAGCGTTATAGAGCATGTTGCTTGAGAGAACTGAATTTGGTCTCAAACAATAGAGCTGAGCCGGATTCGCAAATGACTAGATCAGCTAGACGGACATTCGTTTTTCGTGACCAGAAAAATCGAGCAGTTAAAAGTTTGATGCGAGTCAGAACAAAAAGAATGGCAGAGAAGATTGGATTATTGATTCGGTTTGGTAAAATACACACAATCTGGCCATGTGGGCATAAATGCAGACAAGGATAACGAATGCGAGGAGGTAAAGTGAAGGATGGTCAGTAAGTCGGGCGGTTGGCGAGTTGGGATGAAGCCGAAGTCTGATCGAATTTCCTTACGCGATTGTATGATAGGGGATGATGCTTCACGTTGGCGAGGCAGCACAAAGACAGGGAATGGCAGAGAACTAGAAACAGATGCGATTTTGGGATAAAAGAAAGAGGCCAACATCTGCGTAGATGCATATGGGGACAGGGCAAGCACCCAATTGGAGGGGCGGACGAGAATGACAAAAACTGTATGTTCAAAGACGCACCTAACCAAGTGTGACTAAGGCTACATATGGCGAGAGAGGATGAGCAAGAAACAGTAGGAAAGTTTAGAAGCACAAAGTTCTATACTCTGGAAACAGTAGCATCACAGCGTAAGAAAGCACGCCAAGCTGTGACGGCTAGTGGAATACCTCTGAATAGAATCAAAAGTCAACACCCTTGATAGAATGAACATTGTTTTGGCTGAAGCAAATTAAGAGGGAACCCCGCTGTTCCTTATCCGAAGCATTAATGAGGCTGCCTAAGAGCCATATTCTGATAGCCAGCCAAGGAGTCTTTATAAGAGTAGTATCCCGAAGTTTAGGGGGGTTTGCATGTGCATGAGGTAGAGGCCTGGCTACTCACTGAAATGAATCACCCACATCAATCCCATATGAGCCAAATGAATTGGCAAGCATAAACGGGTCAGAGAAAGGTCAGGCATGAAAAGGAGATGGTTGGGTACTGGGCAGCTAACTGGACAAAGGCACGGACAGTACCCACAAATAAAGCTGTGCGTCTGACACATTAGAGCGAAACTAGTGTATGCGTGAAAGAAAGAGAGCATGCCAGAGGCACTCATAAGGGCCTGTGGTGTAGGGAGGGGATGTATTTGTTAAAAGTGCAGATGGGTGTGCCCGTGGGCAGAATGTACCCCAGAAGCACGAGGGAGCCGTATTAAAGACGACAGGAGTTATAAAGCAAAATAAAGGAGGGAGACCAGTCTCAGCAGCTAGCAGCAGAAACGACGGTACCACTAATATCAACAGGTGGTTTATTTCCAGCGCACCATGAAAGCAAAGGATAGACAAGCGTGCAGACCAATAGACCAAACTGCGCGTGCATCTGGGTGAGAGATACAAGTCTGGCCAGGAGAAGCGTCTGCCAATAGGAAGTCAAGGTGCAGAGATGGAGGCAACACACACGTGAATACATTTCGATAGAAGCAAAGAAGCTGGCTACACCAACCAAAAATGAAATACGGCAGCCAGGGGAATTTTTTAGCCGTATAGCTGTCATTGTAAGCCTATGCTTGCATAAGGGAGAAAGTGGTGTCCCTAGGGAGATTAAGCAAATTTATAATTGAAGCCTCCCAGCCTGTAAAAAGCATAATAGACACTTCGGAAACACCCTAAAGTGGAAGATTATGCAAATCATATATATAAAACAGAGTTCTTAGAACACTAAAATGACTTGATGGAGTTAAAAAAAGATATGAAAAATCATCCCATAATAGTTCGAAATATTCTTAAATGACTATCCTACTAAAATGAAAAAACATGAATATATGAAAGAAGTAAACAAAGTAAACTATAAATTTAAAAATTTTATGGATAAAACGGTGCATATTAGAAATAGCGTTGATAAGATAAGAAACGATGAAATGGCATTTAAGATGGATTTAGCGCACTAGTCTTAGCAGTAAAATTTCAAGCCAGAGAATTGCTTCGAATAAGGGT